CTTCCTCAAGAAGTTGTAGGACAAGGGGGTCCTGAGCGGAGTTATGTGTCACTGGAGCTTTCTTTCGTAAATCTCCATCTCCTAATGGAATTAGGAAGGTTTGATCAAGGGCATGTGTGATTTTTCCCTGGACTCGCTGTACTGGCTTCCAGGGTATGTCTGTCGGAACACCTCTGAGTCCCCTGTACCCTCATGTCTCTCTAGGACTTGTTGCCCCTTCCCCAAATTGGTGGCCGGCTCGGGCCGTGGCAGGGGACCGAGTCTCTCAGAAATCCTTGGGTCATTGATCTTTGAGCTTATATGGATGGAATTCTCTCGACGTTGCTTCAGGAAATCCCGACAATCGCGAAAGACGGCTTTCGATCCTTCTGCCCCTTCAGCAAAGAGGTGTCTCCATCCACTTCTCATGGTTCGGGTCGAAGCAACTGGGTTAAGAGAAGCCTCATGTTGATTATCAAGTCGAGGGGTAATCTGTTCCCTATCAGGGATATCTATGTCGAATGCATGTGACCCTCCATGTTGGAGGGCACCCAGTTGATGGTTGACTTCCACGGGGGCAACAAGCTCGCGTGTCTGAGCTTGCCTAGCTTCGTGGAGTGTCTCGAAGAGCTTCTCATATTGCTCCTGGATGACCTCATTCCTCATTGCTATCTTGTTGTTCTGAGCTTCCAACTCATCGACTTTAGCTTGAAGAAAAACTCGTTTTCCTTCCTTCTTTCGTTGTTTCGCACTATGTGCAAGGGGGGTGTCATTCTGTGTGCTGTGGCTTCCTTCGCTTCCCATGTTGGAGAGGGATGCCTGATCAAAAGAAAGTGTACGAATGATGAAACCAGCTTGACACAGCTGAAGAGAGTAGGAATAAGTGTCGTTTCCCACAGACGGCGCCAAATGTTGATGCACAAAATCAGCGAAGACTTTGGTACAACAGAAAGTGTCAGGTTTTTGTGACCTTCGCTTGGTTGCTTCGGTCACTAGTGAGGATAAGTACGTAAATGAATAGAGACAGAGAAGCAAACACAGGATGTACGTGGTTCACCCAGATTGGCTACGTCCACGGAGTAGAGGAGTTCTTATTAGTAGTGAAGGGCTTACACAAGTACAAAGGATCAAGCTCTCAATTTAGTGAGTTCTTGTGAATGATTTAACACAAAATGGCATTAGGCAATATTGTGGGGGAATGACCCCTATTTATAGAAAAACTTGTAGCTTTGTCACATTGACATGTGTCATGTTATGATTGGTTCTTGATGTCGACACGTGCTGCGCTCTGATTGGCTTCTAATCTTGACACGTGTCGAGTAGTGATTGGCCTCCTGGTCGGAGGGGAACTCTTCTGGGTCCTTGACAGTATAGCGTTGGCCGGTGTTCGGTAGTTTCGGGATTGGTCAAGTATGGTACAAACAGGCCTCATCTATTTTCCCTCCCAGAATTTATGCTTCTTTCCTTCATAAATAAGGACCTCAACCATTTCATACTTCCCGATCATGGCAAAGCTCCTTCTAATGTATTAGCTCATGCCATGATATCCCTTGTATTCTGCAACTTTGCAAACCCTGCTACTGCAGCAAGCGTGCGTTTGTTGAACCCCCTCACTACTCTTTTATGCACCACGCTAACATATTATTAAGCTAGAAAATCTTTGATAAGCATCGGGGTTAGCCTAGTGATGAGGGGGACGATTGACGGGTAGAAGTAGGTTAGGTTTTAAGGTTCGAAACCCTCCAATGTAGCAAAAAACAATATGTAATTTGCTAAATCCCAAGTCTCTACATTTGACGTCGGTATATTTATATATTCATATGCGTGTGTGACCTCTCTTATGAAGTTGTAGTTATTATTACATTTACTTCGCTTCAGCATTATGGAATATAACATACAACTGGAGATGTATCATCTTTTATTTGATCTTTGATATCACCTAATTTATGGTTTAACCTGAGAATTCTATTGTGTAACCACTAACCCTGTCCGCCAATGGAAACACCACGTCACGTCCAACTTGTATGTGTTAAACATGAGTTTAATTCAGACGTAACTTGCTTCTTTTTTGTTGTGAAGTAGTGTTTAACCAAAATATCGGCTACTCAACTTCTTTTCTATCTCTCACATTGCTTGTTACACTCGAGCCTCTCTCGTTTAAGTCCGATATCAACCGTGATTTAAGTCGACATGAAAATTTGAGGCCACCGTCTTAGAATCACAAAAATAAGTTGTGGGGGAAGAAGAACACAGATTCTGGGATAAGGTCATGATGAAATCTTGGGATGAGGAACATAAATACTTGGCGTGAACACTTGAAAAATGGGGTGTATGCAGTAAATGCTTTATTTGGTCACACACTCATGTATGTATTGCAGCCAACAAGATTTTCTTCTGATCTTCTTTGTGAAAATTCTGAAGATTTATAAATCGTGTCCGTTCATCGTGCAATGTATAGTTAGATTTCATCAGGTACTGTTTGTGATCAATTTTAAGAAAAGAAATTTTAAAAACCGTACAATTTACGATGAACGATTACGATTTACGAATCTTCAAGATCCTCACAAAATGATCCAGAAAGAATCCGGATTCGTATTGCAGGTGTTTTGAATGTAAAACTCAATCATGCTTCCTCTCCTTCCTTCCAAGTAAAGTTCAATTTTTTTTCCACCATACTTGATGGATATGTTTGACTGACACTTGAAAGAACAACAATACAAAAAGTACTTGTGGTGGTGGGTATGTGCGTCTTCACTGTTGAACCCTACTGCACTGCTTAGTTTTTTGCTTGCTTAGCAAATGTGTTTGTCTCGTTGTAGGTTATTTTTTTTACGTTCTGCCATCTTTAACTTGGAGTTTACCAACAAAAAAAAAATGAAAAATACAAAATGTACTTGTGGTGGTGGGTAGGTGCATCTTTATTGGGATTTCCTTATTTCTTTCTCCATTTCTTTGCTTTAACATTAATATCAATCACCGACTAGTTATTGGTGCACTGACACGTCGTTGAACTTTGTTAAAATTGCATAGAAGAAAGTATCAATATCATATTTATATTGGGCACATTTTATTATTATATGTACAAATAATAGGTAAATTAGTATTGTATAAAATAATAATGTTTTATTATGTAGGTAAATTATTTTGCATTATTGGGTTTGCTTTATCATGTAGGTAAATTATTTTGCATGTATTTTGCATATATTGGATTTGCTTTATTATGTAGGTAAACTTTCACATGTATTTTACATATGAGTGTTAGGTGCACTATTTGAATCAAATAACATTAATTTTTTGGAGGTAAATTATTTTGCATGAATTTTTACATACATCAAGCATTTTTTTATTACATATGTGTGTAGCAAATTATATAAATAAAGAAATATAATATATATATATATATATATACTATGTATATATATTATGTATATATATGAATATATGTTGAACTTATAGTAGTACAATATACTTTGAACGTGTGTGTGTATATATATATATATAATAGTATGTCCAATAATTATTTGTTCATTATAATTAAGGTGAGTAATAACATTTATGGATTTGATTTGAATATTGTGGCACTAGTTGTAAATATTTTATAGTAATAGATCAATTACTTTCCTACTTGGCAATCTTTTTTAAAATTTGGATTTTATTTGGATGTTTAATAGTAGATGAGTTTTTGTCTAAGAAGTAAGAGTAGTAAGAGTTTATATCTAAAGAACCAAAAAAATTAAAAGACGACACGATTTACGAATCTTTATGATCCTCAAGAAAGGATCAAGAAAAAATCCGGATTCAAGGGTTTTGAATGTAAAACTCAATCATGCTTCCTTTCCTTCCTTCCCCGTAAAGTTCAAAATTTTCCACCATACTTGATGGATATGTTTAACTGACACTTGAAAGAACAACAATACAAAATGTACTTGTGGTGGTGGGAAGGTGGGTCTTCACTGTTGAACCCTCCTGCACTGCCCAGTTTTTTGCTTATTTGTAGTCGTTGGATCAAAATTCAACGGTATGTGTGCTTTGCTCAGGAAGTTCAGCCTCCTAATCTCAGAAGAGGATCCAAATCCTGATTAGCTAATGCGTTTGTCATGTTGTAGGCTTTTTTTTGTACGTTTTGACATCTTTGCCTTGAAGGTTACCAATAAACAAATAAATAAACAAAATGTACTTGTGGTGGTGGGTAGGTGCATCTTTATTGGGATTTCCTTATTTCTTTATCCATTTCTTTGCTTTAACATCAATATCAATTACCGACTAACTATTGATCTAGTGATACGTCGTTCAACTTTGTTAAAATTGCATAGAAGAAATTATGCTAATATTTACTGGATTTCAGATTTAGAAAAGTAGTCGAGCCTGGTAACATGAGCTTGTAACTAAACAGGACATTAAAGTGATTGATGGGTGATGAAGCCTTGGTCAAGTGAGATATGATGTGTTGAGAATGAATCTCATATTGATGAAAGGAGGGCTTTTGCATGAGCTTATAAGAGGTTGTGCTACTCTCCATATTGCTAATTGGTTATTATGGTGGAATCTCAACTTTCTTCATGGTACCAGAGCAGGTTGTTCCTCGTGCAAAGTCCAACAATCACACGTGTTCCACATCATCTCGATTTGTGTTGTTCACGTGTTAGGCTTGAAAATTCGCCACATATAACCGGGATGTGTTGAGAATGAATTCCACATTGATGCGAGCCTCATATTGCCAATTTGTTTTATGATGAAAGCCTAACTTTTTTCATGATGTTTGAAATCTATTTGCTACTGTTGTGAAGTCACTTTAAGTATGTCCTAAGCTATTTGGGTTAATAGGGTGTCCCACCCAGGGTGGGCAACAAACATTTGGAAAAGTAAAAATACTAGGAAGATCATTTTTTACTTCCACTGAAATTAAGCATTCCTACTTTTTTTGCCAATCAAAATACAACACATGTGCATAAATTTTTATTTTTTCGTGTTTTTCATGAGTAATATATGCGCGCATCGAAATGTAATTTGCAAGAGAAAAATGGAGAAGACAAGTCGAGTCCATCACCAAATCATAATGTTAACAACATTCTCACCAAAATCAAAGATAAATAAATAAAGGTAAAATGTACATGACTACAACACTAATCTCATCTTGTTCTATACATCCAGATGCTAATCATATCTTGAAATTGAAATTCACTTGAACAACGTAGCGCATCCTAATCTGTTCCACATTGTAAACTATGTACTCATTGTACAGTAATGAACCTGCATGGAGCACATAAACAAGATCAATTTACAATGAAGCTGCCTGCCTCGTTTAACAGTTCCAAATCAAATTCACATCCAAACAAGTTCTGAAAAATGATGTATTTCTACCTTCGGGCGGCTTGTATTCTCTTTCGGCTTTCCTAGAGGAACCACGACGCCATCATCTAGCAACTGAGCTTCTGAAAAATCTGGTTCAGTTCCCCCAACTCCTTTAGTGCTGCAGTGTTATGTTACATGCCAAATTAAGTAATGCAATACGCGTTTTAGTTTCGTAAAAATGGAATAATGTAACAAGCTTTCGTCGAAGGCCAATTCTCTCACACATAACGCAGACAAACTTCTCAATCAAGAAATATACAAAGTTTATAAGGAAAGGAAGACAAACTTTCAACACAAAATATCAAAAGCGTAATTGACAAGAAGAAGTTTCATCACTTAAACAGTTTATTTATTACTTATCAGCAATTGATGGATGAAACATTTTATGAAAAGCCTCTCGTAGATCAACCTAACCTTCTGAAGCGTTCAACTTCACCCTCTTTTGATGTGCGGAATATTTGAACGATATCAACAGTGTAACTTGAATGTGTTTTTGCGTGAGTATTATGCAAATATTTTGCAATCTGACAGCAGCAATATAAGGAAAAAAGATCAAAACTAAGCAGATAAATTATTAGCTTAATTTTGTTTATATTCAAATTTCCATTGCTTATAACTCACAGATACCATATCAAATTCACGAGAATCAACACCAATCGGTGTCAACTCACAATGGAGGCGTTGGTAACTGGAATACAAGGGATCTCCCTATAATAATGGCAGAAACATACATTAGCAGGAAGGATAGATACTAAGACATAAGGGCAAGTCCGCAAGTGAACTATGAAGCATAAGATGAAAAGAGATTTACCTGCGTTCCTGTGTTATCCTTCAACAATTTTGTTGCAACCTCAATTTCATCCAGTGCTTCAACCTTCACGTAGAGAAGAGTTAATGAGAATCGTCACACACAAATAGCACTGATAGGTGGCACGGTACTTATTTGAAGGAATATAACATTTGATTTAAGTTTTGGAAGTTTTTAGCCAAACTATACCCACATATACAAGAAACAATTTACAAAAAGAATTGCCATTTCTAACTTGTGTTTCAACTTCTGAGGAGTACCAATCACAAAGTTACCTGCATTACTCATATTTCCAAACCAATTATATGCCTTCATTTACAATCAGAGAGAGAGAGAGAGAGAGAGAGATAACTCACGCATTTTTTTTAATCCAAAGTCATGAGGAATGACAGTATAGAACTCTCTGCCAGAGGATGCCCATAAAAAATTGGAATTCCAAATTTATTTAAAGCTAAGGGTACCAATGACGATACAAAAAGTACTTGTGGTGGTGGGTATGTACGTCCCTACTGCACTGCTCAGTTTTTTGCTTGCTTAGCTAATGTGTTTGTCTCATTGTAGGCTTTTTTTTGTACGTTCTGCCATCTTTACCTTCGAGTTTACCAAAAAAAAAAAAAAAATTACAAAAACAAAATGTACTTGTGGTGGTGGGTAGGTGCATCTTAATTGGGATTTCCTTATTTCTTTAATTGGTGTACTGATATTTTTTTTTAAAAGAAAAATTAATGAAAATAACTTGAAATTTTTAAGTTTTAATGATAAGGACAAAATAAAGGGTAAAATGAATAGTATCATGATTGACATTTTAGTGTAAAAATATAAATTTTCGTTAAAATAAATAATATTGGAAGTTTTTCGTTAAATATATTTTTTTTAAAATCCAAAGTCATGAGGAATGACAGTGTAGAACTCTCTGCAAGAAGATGCCCATAAAAAATTGGAATTCCAAATTTATTTAAAGCTGAAGGTACCAATGACGATACAAAAAGTACTTGTGGTGGGGTGTATGTAGTAAATGCATTATTTGGTCGCACACTCATGTATGTATTGGAGCCAACAAGATTTTTTTCGGATTCTCTTTACGAAGATCCTGGAGATCTGTAAATCGTATTATTTCATCGTACATTAGGCGTTTAGATTTCGTCATATACTATTTGTGATCAATTTTAAATAAAAAAATTACTAAAAATATGTCTTTAGCTCCTGAAACTTAATTTTCTGCAAATAAAACCCAACATTAGCAAATTTATTAATTATATTTGACTTTACACATTTAAATTTGTTTGGATGCCTAAACTACCCATATTTTAATGTTTGATGTACACAATTAATTCCATACGGATTGTAAGGGAGAATTATTGATATGCAAATAATAATAATAATAATAATAATAGATTGAAAACTTTGAGTTTTAACGATAAGAAAAAAATAAAGGGTAAAGTGAATGGTAACATGATTGACTTTTTTTGTATAAAAATGTGGTTTTTTGTTAAAGTGAACAGTATTGTGAGCTTTTCGTTAAAGTTCTTTAAAAAAAAAGTATAAATTCATTGCCTAATATATAATAACAATAAAACATACCTAATATATGTAATAATACATGCTTAATAAGGTCAATAAAAAAATATTATACTAATTAATTTACCTATATGTACATTTTTTATTAGCAAATAACTTATATTTTGTAGGTAAATTAATATTGAATCAAATAACATTCCTTCATTTGTAGGCAATTTATTTTCTATGTACTATTACATATATATATATATATATGTATATATATATATATATATATATTTGGCACATTTTATTATTATAAGATTTATGTACAAATACTAGGTAAATTAATTTTAATCAAATAACATTGCTTTGTTTTGTAAGTAAATGAATTTTGAATCAGATAACATTCCTTTATTTTGTAGGTATTTTATTTTGTATGTATCAATGTCATCTTTATATTGGGCACATTTTATTATTATATGTACAAATAATAGGTAAATTATTTTGCATGTATTGGGTTTGCTTTATCATGTAGGTCAATTATTTTGCATGTATTTTGCATATATTGGATTTGCTCTATTATGTAGGTAAACTTTCACATGTATTTTACATATGAGTGTTAATTAGGTGCACTATTTGAATCAAATAACATTAATTTTTTGGAGGTAAATTATTTTGCCTGAATTTTTACATACATCAAGCATTTTGTTATTACATATGTGTGTATCGTATTATATAAATAAAGAAATATAATATTGTATATATGTTGAACTTATAGTAGTACAATATACTTTGAACTTGTATATAATAGTATGTCCAATAATTATTTGTGCATTATAATTAAGGTGAGTAATAACATTTATGGATTTGATTTGAATATTGTGGCACTAGTTGTAAATATTTTGTAATAATAGGTCAATTACTTTCCTACTTGATAGTGTTTTTTAAATTTGGGTTTTATTTGGATGTTTGATAGTATGTGTATTTTTGTCTAGAAAATAAGAGTTTATATATAAAGAACCAAAAAAATTAAAAGACGACACAATTTACGAATCTTTATGATCCTCACAAAAGGATCAAGAAAGAATCCGGATTCGTATTGCCGGGGTATTGAATGTAAAACTCAATCATGCTTCCGTTCCTTTCCTTCCTTCCCCGTAAAGTTCAATTTTTTCCACCATACTTGATGGATATGTTTAACTGACACTTGAAAGAACAACAATACAAAATGTACTTGTGGTGGTGGATAGGTGGGTCTTCACTGTTGAACCCTCCTGCACTGCTCAATTTTTTGCTTGTTTATAGCTGTTGGAACAAAATTTAACGGTCTGTGTGCTTTGCTCAGGAAGCTCAGCCTTCTAAACTCAGAACAGGATCCAAATCCTGATTAGTTAATGTGTTTGTCTCGTTGTAGGCTTTTTTTTTGTACGTTTCGGCATCTTTGTCTTGAAGGTTACCAAAAACAAAAAACAAAACAAAACAAAATGTACTTGTGGTGGTGGGTAGGTGCATCTTTATTGGGATTTCCTTATTTCTTTATCCATTTCTTTGCCTTAACATTAATATCAATTACCGACTAACTATTGGTCTACTGATACATCGTTCAACTTTGTTAAAATTGCATAGAAGAAATTATGCTAATATTTACTGGATTTCAGATTTAGAAAAGTAGTCAAGCCTAGTAACGTAGGCTTGTAACTAAGCAGGGCATTAAAATGATTGATGGGTGATGAAGCCTTGGTCAAGTGAGGCATAGTGTGTTGAGAATGAATCTCACATTGATGAAAGGATGGCCTTTGCATGAGCTTATAAGAAGTTGGAGTACTCTTCATATTGCCAATTGGTTATTATGATGGAATCTCAACTTTCTTCATGGTACCAGAGCAGGTTGTCTCTTGTGCGAAGCCCAACGGTCACACGTATTCCACATCATCTCGATTTATGTTGTCTACGTGTTAGGCTTGAAAATTCGTCATGTAATGGGGGTGTGTTGAGAATGAAACTCACATTGATAAGAGCCTCATATTACCAATTTGTTTTATAGTTGAACCCTAACATTTTTCATGATGTTTGAAATCTATTCACTGCATCTGTGAAGTCACTTTAAGTATGTTCTAAGCTACTTAGGTTAATAAGGCGTCCCACCATGGGTGGGTAGCAAACAAACATTTAGAAAAGTAAAAATATTAGGAAAATATTGCAAGAATTTTTTATTTTTTCATGTTTTTCATGAGTAATATATACACGCATCAAACTGTAATTTGCAAGAGAAAATGGAGAAGACAAGTCGAGTCCATCACCAAATCATAAAAGTTAACAACATTCTCACCAAAGACACAGATAAATAAATGAAGGTAAAATGTACATGACTACAACACTAATCGCATCCTGCTCTATACATCCAGATGCTAATCATATCTTGAAATTGAATTTCACTTGAACAACGTAGCGCATCCTAATCTGTTCCACATTGTAAACTATGTACTCATTGTACAGGAATGAACCCTGCATGGAGCACATAAACAAGATCAATTTACAATGAAGCTGCCTGCCTCGTTTAACAGTTCCAAATCAAATTCACATCCAAACAAGTTCTGAAAAATGATGTATATATTTCTACCTTCGGGCGGCTTGTATTCTCTTTCGGCTTTCCTAGAGGAACCACGACGCCATCATCTAGCAACTGAGCTTCTGAAAAATCTGGTTCAGTTCCCCCAACTCCTTTAGTGCTGCAGTGTTATGTTACATGCCAAATTAAGTAATGCAATACGCGTTTTAGTTTCGTAAAAATGGAATAATGTAACAAGCTTTCGTCGAAGGTCAATTCTCTCACACACAACGCAGACAAACTTCTCGATCAAGAAATATACAAAGTTGATAAGGAAAGGAAGATAAACTTTCAATGCAAAATATCAAAAGCGTAAGTGAATACAAGAAGTTTTATCACTTAACAGTTTAGTTATTACTTATCAGCAATAGATGGGAGGGTCCAATAAAGAAAACAGAGACGCAAACCTTAGTTTTCCTACTGGTAACTTGTCAGCGTCGTACTTAATTAGCACTTACAAGCTCAGCCATGTCGCCCAGCGAAACCTAAATAAAACATAGTTAAGAAGTGTTTAGAACACTTAGTGCGAAAAAGGGAAGCACATACATGTGAAGTGCAGTCCCTCAAAAGTATCCTGTTGGGCGCCCTTCGAGTGTAGCAGATCAGGGGTTGGGGAAATTCAAATTTTAATCCACAAATATTTTTCTGGTCTCTCGTATAAATCTTGATCTTAATGGTACGCAATGCACTGAAGGATATCAGAGCATACAACAAACTAAGAATAATATGAAAGAATGACTATAAAAAGATAAGAACAAGGAAATGACACTTACACCGAGAAGACTCGAGGATACCTAAACCGAAGTGCCCTGATGCCGGGATCGTGTGCCTCAATCCTAACTCCTGAGGGGGCGCAAAATAGAAAAGGTGAGTCGACCAAAGAATATAATATTAGTACTAATAATAGGAAAACATTTTATTTTTGAACATAATAACCCCCTATTTTGAAAACACATATATAATATTACATATAGGTTTTATGAAAAACCCTAGCATGCCATGAAAAACTTGTGTGAAACATCGTAAATCGTATCCGTTATGTACTCAACTAGGGGTATCATAGTGGCCCAAAGGCAATACCTGTCCATCACCCGAAGGTGAAGTTGAATAACTTGTCCATCACCCGAAGGTAAGTTGAATAATTTGTTCATCACCCGAAGGTGAAACTGTATAACTTGTCCATCACTCGAAGGTGAAGCTGTATAAAATAACATACATCCACACTGACACTAGCTGTGGCTAGTGAAGCTGTTCGACACTGCTTTCGGCAGTGAAGCTAGGGATATATAATATATGATATCTTACTCTTCCATCATCTGTGTCCTATGGCCATAGATATATATACCCGTGGTGTGCGGATGTGCCGTATGATAACCCACTAGATAAGTACCAAAAACATGTCTCAAAAAATCATATTAAATCTTGGAGTTCAAATGCTCAAAGCATCATCTCATAAATCATATAACTTTCTAACTCAAACCATCTTCATAACCACAATAAATCCATAGAAATCCATAATTGCAAATCCGATATTTCATAACCTTTAATAAAACGTAATTTTGATAAATCAAACTATTTCGTAAACCATGATTATAAAAGTTCATAATGCATAATATAAAACATATTCAAATCATGGAATATGCAATGCATGCTAGGCTAGTATTTTATAAAAATATATAAGTTAAGAAGGGGTCCACTCACAGATTTTATTGCCCGAGAACTGCTCGAACTAGAGAGGATGACGTCGTTTCCCACCAACGCGCCTAAACACAATTAGAGACCTTTTAGTAAAACTATAACTAAACAATAGAATTTGGGAAAACAGACGGCGAATTTGGATTCGGCATGTCAGAAAACCTAATGAGGGACCTCGGGTTTTTTCCCCGTGTGCGGCACATGGTAGCCGGCCGCCCCAACTAGCTGAAAAATCGAATAACTCCAAAAATTCCCAAATTTTATTGGAATGAAGATCTCGATGAGTGGAGCAAGTTTCATACATGTGACTAAGCCCATTTTGGCCGGTAAAAGCCCCAATTTCCCTCGAACCCGCCCGAAACCCTAAAAATGGTGAATTTTAAATTCTTCTTCTCTGCTACTTTGCCGCCTCCAAATTTGTTTAGGCTTTGTTCTTGAGCTCAAGAAGAGTCTAATGGTGGTGGATATCAACGAGATTGCAATAAAAAATGACGGATCGCGACCTAGGGACTCACGAGGTTGTCGTCGTTGTACACCATGAAACGAGGCCAAATCCCAAAATTGGAGTGGAAAATTAAAGAAGAATAGTCGGTGAGAAGTTTCCAGTGATGGCCCGGTGAAATTCGTCAGAAAATCGCCAAAGGAAATGGCGGAATCTCACACAGGGTACTGGGTTTGAAACGGGTCACGGTTTGGAAACGGGTCAAGGAAAAGGGGTCTTGGTTGAGTGCCTCTCACTTTTCTCCTTTATCTCGTTTCTTTGCTTTCTAATTGGTCCCTGTCTTTCCTTTCTCTCCCCGATTGGGCATTAGCCCCCCTTATTTTTCTCCTTTATTTTCCATCTCAGCCAAACACGTGGCTTCCTAGATTTTGCTCCAACAATCTGAAGTCTTCCAGAAAATGATCAATTGACCATTTTGCCCTCAACTTCATTCGTTAATAACTTCTTCGTTATAACTCTAAATTACGTTCTGTTTGCGCCCACATGTTTGTAGCGACGAGTATTGTGAGAATACGCCAAGAAAACGGATCTTACGTGACACGACAAGGCGGTCAACAAAAGTCAACGACTTTGCCACGAAGGGCATTTTTGTAATTTCACATTTAAAATTATAAAAACCGTAATTTTTTGGGACGGGTCGTTACAAATCTCCACTCAGATAAACATCAATTACTAGCCATTTCCTACAAAATATTTCTTGGCAACCAAACACAGAATGCGAAAGCTCAAACCTTGACCTAGAGGAATGTCAATTGAATGTTCAGAAAGCCTCTCCAGCAGTTATTTTTTCGACCCAGTTGCCGAAACTCGACGAATAGCAGCTTCTTCACGCAATTGCTTCACGCTCATGCCCCGAAACTTTTCGGTGGCTTTCATTTTCTCGGACCCAGTTGAGTCCCCACCTCCCACCTCTTCACTTGACTTCCTTCCCCTCTTTCTATTAACCAGTGAAGCTTCTGCTGCTGAACCATCACTTGCGTCAGTGGGTTCCTTTTTCTCCTAGCCAAGAGCGGAATCGAGCCTCCGAACCTGCAGAATATCAAAACCAATAGCAGAGAATTCGTCAAAATCTTGGAGAGAGAGAGAGAGAGAGAGAGAGAGAGTAGAGAGAGGGTGGGGTGTTGTCAGACCAGGGTGGGTTTGGTTCCGGTGGTGGCTGGAGTTGGTCGGTCGGAGTCGTCCTCTTTCTCCGCAGCGTCCGCGGCAAGCGTTTTTGGCGGGCTTTTACAAGATATTTGATTTGTGGGAAAAGGCCCAATGTTTTGGTCAGGCCCACCTGTTTTGGGCCGGATTAATTGTGCGGTTTTGAAAAATAAAATAAAAAAATTATGCGCACGTGTTAGATTAAAACTACAAACTACAAAGAAAAAAAGTTGATCAACACAGTAGATTGCGCGCGCTTCCCCCTTCCTCTTCCCTCTCAGTCGTCCACTCCGCCGTCGCCACCGCCGCCACCGCCGCCATGGACTCGATTTTAAACGCGTCGTTAGAAGAAATCTGCTTGGAAGGCCGAAACGGTCTCGCGATATCAACCCTCTGGTCCAGACTCGAGTCCTCTCTTTCATCCTCCAATTTTTCTGATCATGGGTTCAAACAAACCTTATGGGCGGAGCTCCGGTCAGTCCCGACCCTCAAATTCCTGAACCAGAAGCAAAATCCCCGGTACTACAGCCCAGCGGATTCTTCAATCCAGTCCTTCCAAGACGCCGAGAAACTCGACCTGAAGCTCGTCGCCGATCAATGTCTCAGGGACAGCTTCCTGGGCCTCTACATTGCCCAATCCTCCGTCGAAAACATGTGTTCGTATCAACGCCGAACCCTTGAAAGAGTTGCCACCGCTAGGTATCAACCTCTCCTTTCAAAATCCAGAATCTAACTTTCCAGTTTATTTTTAATTGTTTGTGTTTTGTATTTGTGAAATTGATGATGTGGTTGTGTGTGTATATGTGTGATTTCATGGTTTCGATTGATTTGAATATCGCCTAAGTACAATGTGAGGCAAGCAAGCTAAGTAATTAAGTTAAAATATTGAGTAATTAACATCGAAAAGTATATAATTGATCGTCATTGGTGAGTTGAATGTAACGTGCTTTGTTTGAACGGATTTCTCGTCCATCATCGGAATTTTCAGGCAAGCAAGTGGTGACCATTATAAAGTTAGAAGTTTGGTTTTTCCTAATAAATGTGTACTTATCCGATTTTACGTTGCTTAGCATAAGATGTTAGTGAATTGCAATGTGAGCCAAGAAAACTTGGTACTCAAGCAAGAGATGTTTTTGTTGTTAGACTAATTAACATGGTGCATATAGTTTCCCTCTCTCTCTCTCTCTCTCTCTCTCTCTCTCTCTCTCTCTCTCAGAAAAGTGTCGAGAGATTGCTATTTTTCGGGGTGGCTGTGAGATAATGATTTGGTAGGATAATTAGGTTGTCTTATGGTTTACTTTATTGTGAATTTGGGTACTTGTAGAAGGGATGGAATTACACAAAGTCAACTTTCCAAGGAATTGGGCATTCAAGGCAAAAACTATTTCTACAAAGTGAGAAAGCTTGAATGTCAAGGGTTAATTGCGAAGCGACCTGCATTGGTGAGGAAAAAAATTCCTGGTGACGAAGGCCACTCGAGCAATAATTTGAGCGTGAGTACCAATTTGATATACTTACATCGCTATGCAAATGATTTGGGCTCTCAACAAGAAGTTGAGATCACAAAGGTAGAACAGAATACAGAGAGTTTTGGGAATGCAAAAGAAATCCCTGCAAGTGGAGATGGATTTTCGGGAAATGGGGTTAAAGATAATGTGCTTGTAAATGACTATTTATCAGCAACGAAGGCAGTCTGCGATAAGCTCAAAGAATCCAATGGCAAGGTCAGGTTTCATAAAAGTTTTGGTAGATATGTCAAAGTAGTTCTTTTTACAGTTTATGTTGAATTTGTTTATGTTACTTTGTTGTCAAAGGTTCTTGTTTCGGATCTCAAGAAAGAGCTTGGTTACAGCGGAACACGTTCAGGAAATAGAGCGTGGAGGAAGGTGAAATTGGATTAACTATATACACTGTTATTAATCTCTGGACTAGCAATTTTACAAGTTAAACTGATGTTTTATTTGAATTGTATTGTTCCCTGCATATTATTCTTCCAGATTTGTTGCAGATTGGAAGCTGCTCATATTGTGAAAAAGTTTGAGGCTCAAGTAAATGAGAAGGTTTCCCAATAATCTTTTTAACCAAACATCGGTTCTCTGGTGTACATGTTCTATATTGTGGTTCTTCATTCTTTTATTTGAACAGTCTCTTGGATTGGAAGCTGCTTGTGTTTGTTGGTAATGACTTAATATCGCTTTTGCAATTTGGACAGGTTGAGCAATACCTTGTTTTGCTGAAAAAGTTTTGTCCGAAGAGTCTCGAGCCAAAAAATCTTGGGCAGGTGAAAATCGTGAAGAAATATCAAACTGCTCATCTGCTTGCGGAACTTCCGATTGAGCATCAAATTCAAGAATTGATTAATGCTGCAGGATCAGAGGGTATTATTATGTCTAATGTGAGTGCATTGTGTGTTACTCTTTGTTCGGGTAAATGTATTAGCAGTATTCCATTAGAGCCTGCTCTGTGTGGTATAATTCCTGCCATTTAGTATAAGTTTCATTTCAACTACTAATACATAAAACCAATTTTCCCTTAATATTTTTCGGTTTTGCTATAAACAGATTTCCAAGAGGCTTGGAATTGGCAGGAAAGAGAGTGATAAGTGGATTGAAAGTATGTGCTCTAGGTTTGGGATGATTAAGAGGAAAGAACGAAACAAAAAAGTCAATGAATATCGAGTTTGGGAACGAGGGAAATGCAATTTCAAATCAGCCAAGGTATTCCTTAATCAATCAGAAAATGACAACACAACAACAACAACAACAACAACACCTTATGTTAGCTATGTAGATACTCTTGATAGGACAGATCAAATTCAATCAACTTTGACAGGTGATACTGCTAACTTGTAAATACGAAAAATTAGAGATTACTGAGCTGACCCTTCCCAGTGGATCTCCTTGGTGTAATGAATCTAAGCATATGCATCTCTGTCCTGGATTACAGAAACGGAAACACATGATGCCGCATCAGATACACCACTTTCTGTCTTGAATCCACATCTGACTTTGACAGTGGACAGTGCCAGAAAGGAAGAAAGCATGCTCGAACAGGTACAGTTTCTTGTCCTCATCCCTTGCCTTGAAGAATTTTCTGGTCATCTTATTAATATTCGTTATCTTTATGTTTGTTACTCATTCAATATATGCAAACATTCGTCCAATTAATCATGTTTATGATAAGTGCCACCATCTTAATGGATCCAGGATAAAGGGGCAGGACTTCAATCTCAAAAAAGTGAACATGCTTCCTGGAAAAGGAATAGATCTTCTAAAGCAAGCTCAGTAGAGTTCACAGAAGTTGAAGGGGTAACTGGAAGGCTGGAAGAGCAGATGCTTGACAAATTACCTGTTACTGTCAAAACATTCATGGAAGGAAGAAATCTCTTGTTCACTTTTCCAGGTGAGCATGACGCACATTTGCATGCGTTCCAGATGGATGGTCATCAAGAAACTGACCAGGAATCTGGAACAAAAGATACTGAGGGGTGTCATTCGATCTTGAGTATGTGCGATTTTTCAAAGTTGAAGCCATCACGTCAATTCAGGTTTTCATGGACTGAAGAGGCTGATAGGTAAGAAAAGAAAATATTTAAATATCATTACCATGAGAATAATCCATCAGAGATAGGATCCCTTTTGTCCCTCCATGTAACAATTAGTTTTTCCCTATTTGCATTTCACTGATGTTGATATCGTTCCTTTAGGCAATTGGTTATTCAATATGCAAGATGGTGCGCAACTCTTGGGGCGAAATATCATCACCAGATAAATTGGGCTTCACTTCCTGACCTTCCAGCACCTCCTAGTACCTGCAAAAGAAGAATGTCATATCTGAAGAACAGTAATGGAAAATTTAGAAAAGCTCTGATGAAGCTCTGTAACATGCTCAGTGAAAGATATGCTATGCTCTTGCTAAAAACCCAGAATGGGTCACTTAACATATCCGATTGCAGACAACTTTTCCAAGGTTCAGCAGAGGAAGGTTATAACAAGAATTGTTCCAACATCAGTGACCGTAATCAAAGGACAGGTTTTCGGGAAAAACTGTGGGATGATTTTGATGATAAGAATATTAGAAAAAGCCTTGATGAGATACTTCACCACAGGATGACTAAAATGGATGCCACCAAAAGAGATGGATCTACGTGTGAGGCAGGGTCAGACCATAGTACAAATTCTGAAGAATATGTAAGTACCGAACCCCTACACCTCGAATTTTACATGCATAAACAGCTTGTCAAATGTTGTTACGTATTTGTATGCTTTCTTCCTTTTTTATCCTAGTATATGCCTATATTTGGCCAATCTAGCTTTTTGCTGAAATACATTTTCACCTGCAGGACCCGCAGGGATCTGAATTGATTGTACCATCAGTTCCGAGCGATGAAATTCAGAATGATAGCAGAGGAATTTCTGCACAACGATGTGTTCAACACCTTCATCAGAATTTCTTTAAACTTTTGCATGAAGGAGTTGTTAGTGCACCAATCTACAAATCTTTGGCTGTAGAGCTATTTAAACTTGTCTTCTTGAGTACCATAACAGCACGAGGAGAGCAAAATCTGCCTGCAGAAATCCAACAGCGTTACTCAGAGCATGATCTTTTAGCAGCTCTCGACTACCTAAGAGATAACAAAATTGTGGTATGTCTTAGTTTCTGTTGATTTTTGGATTGACCATTTAATTGCATTCTCCTGTTCATATAATTCGTAAGTTTTATATATATTTCCTCGCTGATGAACTTTTATTTGGCAGGTTGGGGGTACTGACAGTCAACCTCTATCCCTCTCACCTCAGTTTTTCTCTAACATTTTTAGGTCACCGTTTCCTACTGATTCTGGAAAGAGAGCTGCCAAATTGGCTCGTTGGCTCCGTGAAAGAGAGAAAGATCTTACAGAAGGGGGGATTCATCTGTCTACAGATTTAAAATGTGGGGACTTTTTTCATTTGTTTGCTCTAGTTTCTTCAGGCCAACTGTCGATTTCATCACACATTCCAGATGGAGTGGGAGAGGCTGAAGATTTGAGAAGTTCAAAACGGAAAACTGGAAGCGCTGAATCTTTGAACTCTAAAAGACTAAAATACTCAAGTGATAATCTTTCCCGCCGAGAAAAAGGTTACCCAGGAATCATGGTGTCTGTATATCTGACATCTTCTACGTCGAAGTCTGTAAATCTGTTGAAAGATGACGGTGCTTCTAGTGGCAAAAAACACGTCAGTGGAAATAATCATGTAGAACAAACTGGCAGTGTGCCTGAAGGTTGTATGGAAGACAAAATGTGTGCGCCAACACTGCCGTGGATGAATGGTGAACAGAAAATTAACAAGATTTTCGACAAGGGACTCAAACGGCGCCTTCTTGGGATTGTGATGCAAAATCCAGGGATGTTGGAGGTACTTTCACTCCCAGGAACTATAAAACTCTGTTTATAGCTGGAAAAAAACAATGTTTCCCTACTTCATGTCCCTGTTGGCTCTGATTCTCGCTTATTTCTCGTCGTTTCTTACGTTGTAGGATGAAATTATCCGGAAGATGGATGTACTGAATCCGCAGGTATGCCAACCACAGTCCCTTGCATGACAAGTTTATCTACCGATATATTATGCCCACTCTTCCCTTTCAGTTCAGCAATGCTAATGTAAACTTTCAAATTTCTTACAGAGTTGTCGAAAATTGATGGAGTTGATGGTTCTGGACAAGCATCTTCATGTGCGGAAGTTGCATCAAACTGTTTACAGCGGTCCCCCGCCAATTCTAAGGACCCTCATCGGAAGCAGCTCCGCCCCGCCAAAAGAGGTGGTTCGTGAGCATTTCTTCGCAAATTCCGTGAGTGCAGGTATGCTGTAGGGATGTTTTAGCTTCGTCCGGCATGTAATTATAAGTGTAGCAGAGCTGTACAGAATACTTGTTTCTTGCAGTAGGATATCGAGAATTCTAGTATGTTCTGATGTATACTAAACACGAGAATTTTTAGCCGTGATATAAAAAATATACACCGAAGCATACTAGATTGAAAAGTTATATAAGGGCTATCGGAAATTACTCTTGGAATGAGAAAGTGTAAAACCACAGCGACGGCCAACCACGAAAATCAAGATAGGTTGTGATTGCAAAACAAACCAAAAGGAAAAAACATCAGATGCGATTAGCACTTAACAGTTAGACACAACATAATCCCTGATGAATCTTCGATTGTTTGCAGGGCCACACGAAAACGAAACGTTGACTCCGCAAATTTTTCCTCTTCTAATATATCCCGACAGCAATAATACATCGAAGCATCGTATCTCAACAGATAAACAACATTCTAGTTAAGGATCCATGGCTGCAGCTTACAGGAATAGCAAAGACCTAAATCTTGTTGTCTACTTTTTGGCATAGGTAATCAACATCGAACTCTGCGGTGTCAACTTAAAAGATTGGAGTTCCTGCATTGCTACCGTTGATTGCATCTCATCTCCATACTCCACAAAAGCAATACCTGGCTTCGCTTCCACCATTCTAACCTCCTTGAAACCGGCATACTGGCAGAAGAGCATTTGCAGCATCATGGGAGTTGTCTCCTGCGGAAGATTCTGCACAAAAAGTATGTTGTTTGGTGGAGCAGGAGCCTCAGGTAACTTCACACCACCGGGATACGGTATTTGGGAAAGCTGCACGAGGTTGGGAGAGAGAAGAGAGCTTCAATGTACCAATACAAACTTGGAATAGATAAACCATGAACGGTACCACTTGAATGATAAAATTTCCAATCACTGAAATAAACCAAAATTACTTTATCCGCGTGTTTTCATAACAGTTTCCCGACCTTAATACTGTTATACACCTATCCAATTTATGTTCCAAGAAATTTTTCAATTTCCCAACTTTTATAAACCACGTGCAGTTTTCCACTAAATGGACTTCCGAATCAGTTAAGAGTTGTTTCAGTTCAAGTACGATCAATCACGGCAAATAATAAATATGAACAAAGATATCCAAATAAGAACATAAATAGAGAAGGTATAAACAAAGCTGAAATTGGGAGTAAGTTATCCCTCAATGAGACAGAAAACTTGCTTACCGGAGGTGCTGAACCATAGGTACCAGCGTAACCCGGAATGGGCATTCCGGCTTGGCTTGCATCATGTTGCTCTTTTCGTTTTTTCCCTGCCACATAATGAACAGAAAACAAGCATTAAAAACAAATGTATCAATCATACATCAATACAGCATTTTTGTTCCCGAACAATATATCTTACTGTCATATGGTTTATATAAATGAGAGAGACTTTACCCTTTTCCTCATGCCTCTTCCGTCTTTCACGTGGAACAAAGGTACCATCAGCCTTTGCTATCACATCCGATTTTGTCTTGGCATATTGTATTCTCTGCATTAATCACACAGCAGTAACATGATGCTCAAAAACAAAACAAAACAAAACAAATCATACAAAACGGAAAATCTTCCGGTAATCCCAATTCATTATATCTCTCAAACAAGCATAGAGAATAGTGTCGTGAAACATAATCCATCCATTCAACGAAATGAAATGACATGCCAATGTGCTTTTTCGCCAACAACAATCAAGCCTTATCCCACTAAGTAGGGTCTGCTGTATGAATCCTACAACACCATTGCACTCCGTTTTGCATCAAGTCTTCCTTTAGCTCGAATATATGAATGTATTTATTCACCATTCAACAATAAAAAACAGAATTCTAGACAATGCAAAATACAGCATAACAATCATATGAATGGCCAGCCCCAGCCCTATCATATAGCCGTTCTAATTTACGCGTTCGGGCATCATCGAGACTGACTAACAACCAGAGCTGGATGATGCCAAATTTCCAAATTTGAACTTACAACCACCTAAAATCCATTTTCCCATTTCAATTCACTTGCTTATGTATACCCTTTTGTGCAGTACGTTAACAATACAAACGGAATTTCAAAGAACAAAACAAAATCAAAGAAATATTAAATTTTCCAAATTAAACAAACAGAGAAAATTAGGTTAGAACTGCGTAGTACCATAGGCTTGTCGTAAAAGGGGAAGCCCTGCATCTGGTGAAGGGCTTTGGTGGCGGAGGAGACGTCCTCGAAGACGAGCCAGGCTTGACCTTTGTGCTTGAGCGTCTTGAAAGCCAAGACCTCCACAATCTTCCCGAACTGCGAGAACACAGCCAGAAGCGACTTTTTCAGTTCGTCCAGCTTTATTTTCTCGTTCAGGTTGTTGATGTAGATCGTCTGGTTCGCCACGACTTCGCCGCCACCATCACCGCCGCCGCCGCCTCCGCCTCCGCTGTTGTTCTCTGCCATGTCTGCTTTCTCGGTGCTCAGTTTCGGATTTTGTTTTGAAGCTGCGGTGGAGACGAAAGGGGTTTAAGCTGACTGACGAGCTCGACGGCGAGGCGGGCACCCCTTGCACTTGGGCCCTAATTTTACTTTGGGTAGATTAATGGGCCTTCACTTTTTGCTACCAGATAAATTTGAGGCCCAATGGTTGAGATGCTTTAGGCCCAATAACTAAAGCTTCGTTTGGTGTACAAGGATAACGTTGTATTGATTGGTTCAGTGTACAGTGTACACCCAAGTTTTGTCTCTGGGCACTCTGTTTCTCTGGAAACACAATTTACTCTCACATATTTCTTTGGACACCCAAAATAATTTACTAAACTTTCAAGAATACCCTTCTTTTACGTTTTATGAGTTTATTTTTCTATAGGCACCCATATTTTATTTTCTTTGGACACCTATTCTCCTTGGATTAATTATGAAGGCTTTCTCTTCAACTTCGTAATTTTCGCTTGATGGCATAATTCTATGTCTACATGTGACTGCATGGTTCTTTTATTTCGTGAAGCAAAATTTGCATTATAAGTTATAACCAAACGCAATATGAGGAATAGTCGCGAAGTTGAGATACGAGCGGTAGAGTGAAATTTAGTCGCGAAGTTCATCAGTCGCTTGTTAACCCTTGCTGTTTTTTCAAAACCATGTGGGTGTACAAAGAAAATAATGTAATTCCTTCAAAAATTATTAAGCCATTTGTGGTAATTATGAGTTTAAAAGTCTTTTCTTTTAAATAAAATTGATGGGTGTCCAGAGACGAAACTTGGATGTATAAAAAACCACTCACTCATATTGGATACCTCGTTAGATTCAATGTATATTTAACGAGAAATGGATGCTAATTACTAATTTGAAGGCAGAAGACGGATTAGTTGTAAACAAAACTTATTCCTATTATAACATATTTACTTACAGAGAATGAGAAAGGACATGAATTGGGAGAGGAAAAATGGAATGAGAACGGATACTATGGTCCCTCAAATTAATCATGCATTTTCAAATATTGGGCTAAGGATTTTAAGGTGTGACACACAATTTGTTTCGACTTAATATGTATTAGTAAACATAGGGAAGGTTAGTAATTCGAATAATTATCATTAGTAAACTTTCGGTCAATTCCCACCAAAATGAAAGGATTAAGATAGATAAGTTTCATCATGAGTAATCATCTTCTTCCTTCGATCTAGATAAGAAAAAAAATTTGACATAATTTCTTACTTCAACACATTAGTAAATTTTCCAAATCTATTAGAATCTTAACCACCAAAGGAGGCGCCGAGGCGTAAGAAGCACAAAATTTAAATTCAGTTTGGTGTCTAGCTAGGACTAGATAAACTTGGAATAGGGTCTAAGCCAATACTATTTAGTTTCATTCATCTAGATGACACTTATAAGGCACAATATGTTGACTTGTTGCCCAATTTAACAATTCCAATTCAAGCACTCGTTGACTTTGAACTCTTCGTGTGATTCATATGTTAGTTCAATTTATTTGAATTAGAACTTGATCCAATCAATAAAACCTTGAAAATGACACCACACAGAATGCATGCCAATAACATAGATGCTATAACCTCTTTCCTTGTCTTTGGCATACATGTGAGTACATAACTTGGATACACCGTGAATGTAACTTTTTGTGACAATATCTAAAACAACACTATATTAACACATAACGCGATAACATTTCACCCGTGCTATGTAAAACAAGGGAGAAAGAGGTGATTGTTGTGGAGAAGAGATCCTCTTCGGATCTCTTCCACCAAGACCACCGGATCAAGTGATCCGGACTTTTGAAATTTCATTCAACGGTCTAAAATTATTATATTTTTTTAAGGAGTCAAAATAAGTGGGCCGTTAAATGAAATTCCAAATGATTGGATTACTTGATCCAATGATCTTTGTAGAAGAGATCTAGAGAGGATATCTTCTCATTGTTGTGGAGGTTCTTTGACCTCTCCCACTTGGGGCACTTGACTGCACTCATAATATAACCCCAACCCTTGTGTTCGTTGTAGAGTCGCATTCCATCCACTTGGTAGGAAATGGCTGCTATAAAATAACAGAAGAAGAGATGATACACAAGTGAAAAATGTTGTTTATCCATATTCTAATATTTTATATAGAAATATTAAATCGCGTGCCACATTGTTGAATTGATGGACATGGCCCGTGGCCTTTTGAATTGTTCTTGCACTATCTAGAAAAAGCAAATAGTCAAATAATCCCACCAATTGTATGGAACCTTCTTTTGTATTTTGACGAATACCATATATTTCTTAGGGTTTTCTAGAAACACGGACTGGACGCCACCAATGAACCCGACTGATTCAGTGCAGTGGAGTACGTAGGAGAGAGCCGTGAAAACAATCTCACCATTGCTAGTTGTATGTGTAGAACAATGTCTAATTAGCTACTCAATGATGAGTAGGACCTCTTATTCAAAATTATTTTTATTTAAATTACAGAGTTTTGTGTTTATGATAGAATCTTTGTAAAGTTTAAATCCCTAAAAAGTGAATTAAAACTAGAGTCGTTTAGTCCATATAATATTAAATACATAGACGGTTCGTAATATTTTTACTAATTCTGTTCTACTGTTTTTATACACCTCCCTGACAAAACGATATTAGTTTAATTGATTTTTTGTAAATGAGATCTTTATTGAGTAATTTATAATATGAAAGGTTATGATCATAAATACAAAGTTCTATAAACTAGCGACGAACAATTTTGAGTAGAAATTCTTACTCATTTTTTTAGTATTATTTGTATATGTATATATGTTTTTTTTTATACCAAACAAGCATGAATTACAACTCTCATAAATATAAATTGTGCTGATATTACAAGTTAATTACATTGTGCGATACATATTACCATCTTTGTACAAGTTGGTTCTACTTCGTTACCTATTTTAAATTTTAATACATAATAAATTCGTACTCTTAATTTAAAATTTTGTTGCATAAAAGTTCTTCTTCATTTATGTGTTCCCTATGAGACGCCAGAGTGGAGGAGTGACATGACACAAAACATAATAACAACAAAATATCTAAAGGATGCATGCATGCACGCATGCTGCTGCTGCTGGTGGCAGCAGCTGCATCGATCTAATTCTTCAGCAGGGCAAGTTGCAGTTAACTGCCGGCTGAATCCGGATGCGACGCCGCGGTTTCGAAAGAAAGCAGCCCTCTGTTCTCTTCTGTCATGGTATTCCGATTATATACAACACAAAGATATCTCACCCACTTGCCTAGCTAGTTGGGTATCTATATCTTCATGTCACTTTATATATTCGTGACATTATTAAAAATTCAAATTATATTATTTTGGGCGGTGTGGTCTTGGAGTATCTCACAATTAACAATAAACAAGGATTTGTTGTAATCATTCAACTAATTAAAAGAAAATCATGATTAGATTCTTGTTAACATCTACGTCGACACTACTTACGCGTTACACCTATAATCGTGGGAATAATTCATTGAACTCATATTTTTTGGATCTTTGCATAGAAATACTCGATTTTGATTGTCAAGCTTTTTAGATTGGGTCGAAAAATGGAATGAGATCAAATGATGGCTCGAAATTTCAAATTTTATTATTAAGCTTATGAGTTTTAATATATTAAACTAATGAGCTTGATCCCTAACTATTTATAGGAGCAGCGTCATAGAAATTAAATTCAAGATGCCTTAATCATATATAAACGAATCAAACTCGCTTAAACACTAAAATGTAAAATGATGTTACAAATTTTATTATAAATCGACAACTAATTTCCATTAAAGATAGACAATTAGTCAAGCACTTATTATAGTATATGTAAACTGTAAAATTGTGTGACACTATAACAATTCTACTATAAAATTTCTTCATTAAACACCGACATATCTTTTTATCTAGATTGATATCCACTCCTAACTTTTGCATCTAGAGCCTATCCCTCAAGAAACCTGAACCACTCTTCAATTGATCAAAAGCTTGAATAATCCGGATCTTTTTTTCTGTGTTCCTTGTGTTTGTTAATCGACGCGCTCCGAACACAAAGATTTGAAATGAATCTCGTTCATCTCAATATTAAAAGAAGAGCTCAATCTAAAATATGTTCATTTGCTATTTGTGGAGGTTGTGTAATTTGATTTCCATCTTATTTGCACAGCTGTTAAAGGAAAATGAAAAAAGAAAACGATAGGTAACCACGAAGACAAATTGGACAAAAGTTGGAACTTTCTTCGTCATCACATGATTCACATCACCAGTAGTCATGACTCCTAATAAGACAGACCCTTGACTTGGACCTTTCCATACTTCACGAGGCCAATTTGGCCTTAAAACCTTCCAGAACTCAGCCAAGAAACTCCGCCACCACTTCTTCTTTCCTTCTCCTACCACGTGTACGCCTCATAATTTATTTTCATCTGTACCACGTCGTAATATTATTATTTTACACTCACAACATAATTATGTTTTCTGTCTTTTTTGTGTATTAATAAAAACATGTGTTATAGTTGAAGGGAACAAATACATCTAAGAATACAACGAGACAATTTATATGATACAGATGCATAATAATTGAAAATTTTAGATTATAATGTAGTTTCATGTGAATAAAAACTTACACATAACCTTATAACTATTGCACCGATCAGTAACCATGCATAAAAGTCCTTCCATCCAACCACCATTATCTCAAACATTCGAGACACCGCACTTGTGCCAAAGGGATTTTGTTGTATACCTAAAACACGGTGTAGTACATCACATTAGAAAATAAAACAAACACTTGAAAAGGAAAACTTCCCTCCAATTCGCGGACCTTTCCTCACCTCTTGACGTTGACTCAGGTAAAAGAAAAGTCGGTCCACTCCAACCCCACTCCCTCTCAACCGTCCGATCACACGTTGCCAAAAGCAAACGGAAACGGCCTTTTGCTTTAATCCCACGTGGCAACAAACTACAGGTCAGTCGATCTCTCCGCTCCGTTTAAACGATAAATTTTTCATTCTAACAGAA